GTCCTCTAGGCCCAGCCCTCTTTCCTGCTTATGCAGGGGGTCGGACTCGATGATCTATTGAGGTCCCTTCCGACCCTAACATCTATGAATCTATAGCACCACATGGGTTCAACCCTAAGGGATTCAGGTCAGGGATCCATTAGATGCACTGCTGCAGCATGCATGCAGCCTGCAGCCTGGGCCTAGACATCTTTCAGGACCACCTTCCTAGTTGGGCAGGCGTTTAACAACTGAGGTTAAACTGAGATGTTGTTTGGGGCCTCTGTTTTATGCTGACATTGTAGTTCCCTTTAAGTTGCTTTGGGCTGTTGTGCTGATAATGTTACTGAATGGAAATTCCAACCCTCGAACTAGGTGCATGTGTTTATGTATTTATTCCATTTATAAGGCACCCTTCCCAACAAAGGCTATGGGTGGCTTACAATAAGGGAACTGTCAATGGGTGCTATGCATCTCATACCCCTTTCTGCAAGCCACTGTTCACTCCCTTATGTGATGCCTTGATGGAAACAAATGAAGAGAAGTTGAATGGTGAAGCAAAAGGAAACAGCATTCTCTTGGCAAAGGGGTTATGTCCTCTTCACAGGGCTCCACCTCCCCTACATCCTGCTCTCACCACACCTTCCAGGTTGGACCTATGATCTTCCAACTACAGGTTTCTCTCAATTTATGTCATACGTGTGTTTCAGGAAAAGTGCCCATAAATCAAATTTGCATAAAGGGAACCCAGTTTATAACATAACAAATAGGGATACATTCTTTCAGTGCTGAGGGAGGGAGTAAGGCTGGGACTAGGGAAGGGGCGGGGGGTGGGGTTTGGCACAGTCCGTCAGCCACTCCTGGGGCTGCAGCAGGGAGCAAAGCAGAGGAAACGGTGAGTGGGTGCAGGGCACAGGACTTGTGGGGGGAGTGGTGCAGCTCTTGCTGCTATGTGCACCCTGGGAAGGCTGTGGGCTGAGGGGCTATGCTGGGTTTTTCCCATGGGGCGTGTGCCCCCAGATCTGCACTCAGGAGGACAGCAGGCTGCCACTGCAGGCTGGGGCTGGCAGTGGCACCAGGCTCTTCCTGGCCCTCAGGACAGGCTGTGGAGATGGGAGGGGGGCTGCTGCCACCCCAAAATTTGACTAGCCCCCCCTGGAACCTGCCCTCCTAGTGCAACCTCCGTGTGCCGGGAAGGGCCCGGTGTCGCCACTGGCCCCAGCCTGTAGCAGCAGCCTGCTGTCCTCCCATGCACAGATCTCAGGGCATGCACCCCCTGTGAAGAGCCCGGCACAGCCCCCCAGCCTGCAGCCCTCCTGGGGTGCGCATAGCAGCAAGGGCTGCGCCCCCCCCATCCCATGCCCTGCACCCATTCACCATTTCCTCTGCTTTGCTCCCTGCTGCAGCCCCGAGAGCAGCCAATGGCCTGTGCCACACCCCTCCCCCTGCCCCTGCCCCTTCCCCTACAGACTTACCTTGCCGCGCCCCAGGCCTCCGCTTCTCCCCTCTCACCCGAGCCCCTGCTGCAATGGCCTCAGGAACAGCCAACACCACCTGCCTGCACTACAGAGCCCTGGAGCCGATCACATAAGAGTGAATATACCTCGCATATAACAAATGTGGGGTATAAAAAGAGTCATTGCATAAGAGTGAATTCACATGTACAGAACCTGTGTATATTGAGGGAAACCTGTATATCGGAGTCACTTGACTGGTGACCTGACCAGTCATCCAACTGTGCCTCAGGCCTTTTCCCATCATGAGCTTTTCATGAGCAATTCCTTCTTACTTATGTCCCTTTGTTTTCTATGCATGCTCTCAATAAATATTAGAAAAGGTGGCCCTGTTTAAGGCTACTCAACACAAGAGTTTCACATCAATCACTTAGTCCCTAAGCATCCTCAATTTAGGGATCCTTTCTCAATAAACTCACTCCCCTTTATAAGACTTATCAATTTAGTGTATACTGTTTTTGGCTCTATCAAATCCGTGGCTTCCCTCGTGGTATCCTTTTGGCTGGCACCACTATCATCAGCCCATTAGCTCAATACATGGATCGCCAAGAGAGGCCTCATAGCCACTCCCAGCATGCAGAGTCTCACCCCTGTGTCCCAAGCCCAACATGGATAGGTTGCATGGTTGGCCCTTCTCTGCTGACTACCCTTCACTGGCTTGCTCCAATCTTGAAGTACTCCCTGGGCTTAGACCCAAGTTCATATTGCTCCTGGTCATTTTCTATGCCTCTGCACAGAAAGGCACTGCTGTCTTTTTACAGAGACAATACACTCCCCTCTTGTGGGTGATGGACTTTGGCGCTCTCACATTTCAACCCTCTGGGCCTCTTGGGGGGCTAATTGTATCTGGCTCCCTGGCCACATGGGTGGCAGCAGCTGGGGATCACCAGAAGCCAGGACTTGCCGTTACTTCTTGGTTTATTCTCAGGCATACTGGCTAATGGCAGCAGAGACCCAGTGTAACTCCATGCTGGGCTGGGCAGGGATCCAGCTGCACCTGGGAGACTGTTTGTCCCTGGTGAAGGGACTGGCTCCCAGCTGCACCGGGGTGATTTTGCCAGTGACAGTGGGAGTCCAGCATGGCTCCTGGGTAAGTGAAGCAGTGAGCCCAGTTACACATGGTGTCCCACTCATAACAGGGGCCAAGAGGATACAGGAACAGTATAACCTATAAAAAAGGAGAGCGACAAAACAACTTAAAAGGGAACTACAACATCAACATAAAAGAGAGGCCCCCAAATAACATTGCAGCTTAGCCTGGGTTGCTAAATGCCTGCCCAACTAGGAAGGTCTTACAGGACTCCTGAAAGATGTCTAGGCACAGCCTTTGAGGCTCTCAAGACAGAGGGAGGGAGTCCCAGAGCTATGGAGCAACTGCTGAGCACGACAGTTCAAGCTTTGTCAAAAGTCTTACGGAAGAAGTAACCCAGCCAGGGGGCCTGGCACATGGAGAACAGGAGCCAAATCCCATCCTTCAGGACCTGTAGCAGCTCAAGAAAGAAGTTAAATGTCAACTGAATCTAAAAAAAAAAGAACAGGTTTTATTCAGCTTGACAAACCAAAATGTTTTCATTTGAGTTGGCGCAACCCAAAATGGTGGACATTCAGTAAAATCAAATTTGTTTCTAAGAAGAATTTCATTTTGCAGAAACTACCCAGCCTGCTCTAGTTATAAG